TGAACACTTAAGAGTAGACTGCTTAATCTAAATTAAGTTCTGTTGGGGATAATCTTTCCATTTAATTTGGTTTTATTGTAGCAAATACTAAATCAAATCTTAATGTAAGTATGATTATTTTTACTTCTAGAGTTATGAAGATGAGAGAAGAAGTCGTTCAGAACTTGAGATTAGATGTCAACGTTTGATGTTGGAATTAGCAGATACAAAACAGATGATTCAACAAGGTGATTATAGACAAGAGAACTATGATAAAGTGAAATGGTAAGTGTGCCTGCCTGCTTATGAGTAGAAATGTCTCTTTGTTTATTAATGAAAGTTGCATCTCATAATGTGGGTTCAGTTCTATGTTTTTTGACTTGCACATACACGCAAACCGTAAAATAGACAAAATATTCATTTATCAAGGTGAGGAATTGTTCAGTTCTGGTTTTGCAAGAAATATGGCAATGAAAACTTACAAATTGGATACATATTTTTCTAAAAATCCATAATTTGGGTGCCTGATTTTCCAGAAGTGTAGCCAACCTAGTTTCCACCAAAGTAATAGGAACCAAATTTAAAAAAATGTTTTTAATTTTTTTTTGGTCACCTAATTTTCCTCTGACATGCTGCAAGAGGTAACCTACATGGCAGAGGAACAGTTGCTTGTAACTACTCTCTAGTTTCTCTTAGAACTATGGGCATGAAATAACTTAAGGATATTCATCCACTCTCAGCCAGTCTCTGCAAAATGAGTCCTCAAAAGACTAGTTTAGTACAGTAGAGGGGAAAATTTGCAAATAGCTGAAGTGGTGAAGGTAATGATAAAGCAAGAAAGATGTTCTAGTTGACAAGAATTGAAGAAGGAAAGGTTTTACACCAGTAGTGGCCCATTAAGTGAAAGGATGAAAAAAGCTCAGTGTTAGATGATCTTGAAGAATTGGGTGATACTGAAGAGGTATGCAAGTTCTGAAAACTTGTTTTACTGAAATGAAAATAAATGCATCTCATAATCTGATTTTTTTTTTTTTTTTTTGTAACAGTGAACGAGATACATTTGAACATGAATTATCAGAGCTCAGGAGAAAATATGAAATACTAGACATATCACACAAAGCACAAGCCAAAGAAAGGAATGACTTATCAAAAGAGGTAAACTTTAGAGTTCTTGTTTGAATGGTTGTCTGCATTAATTCCATGCTTAGTGTGCACATATCCCAGGTATACAAGATGTGGATTCTTTTGGCTAGCAATGTCTGTTGAAGCCGAACATGAATCTTGAACACTCTTGGATAGGCAAGGTATTTTGAGTAGATGTGATATCTTTTATTAGACCAACTGAGTAGTTGGAAAAAACTTCTTAGCAAGCTTTCGGGTGCAGTCACCCTTCTTCAGGCATAGGGAGTATGAACATTTGTACACTTCTACCCAAAAGCATAATAGCAAACACAGCTTGCTGACCTTTAATTCCTTCAAATTACCCATTCCAGTGAGGCAAAACATTGCTAATATCCATTTACTTTGTGCCCTGCATGATTACTTTTAGCATCACCTATAATATTTAGTTAGTATAGTTTATTTTCTGTGTGTTGGCAAAATGTATACCTTAAACATGCTTTAGGTAATCTACATCTCCCTTCTCCCATGCCCCACCATTCCCTGTACAGAGAGACCCTGTCACTTACCACTCTACTTAACGTGGCTACAGAGCAGTAATGAGACCCAGCTTCTCTACATCTGACAACCTGGACACTAGCTGAATGTTCTAAGTGAAATAAATTGGCTTGGCCACCAACTTTTGTTCTAAAGCAGCAGGAAATTCCAGTCAGGCCTACTTATGAATCTAAAACTGGAGATAGATTTTCTATTTACGCATTTCTGCATTAGCTTTCTTCCTTGGCATAACCATTACAAACATGTTGGACTGTTTTCTGATCCTGAAACATTCTGGAGTTTAAGTTGCGTACGTGTCTGTCTTGCAGCAATATCTGCATAGCATCCGCCTGTTCAAGACTATCCTGTACCCTCCAACTGTAAACATGAAAAAAATCATGAAGGATCTTAGATATTTTTCTTCTCTGTGTGGAAGCCCTCTCTTGGACCTTAGTGTAATATTAGTAAGATATATTTCAGCTTGAAAGGTAGGGAAAATTTTGGATCCCTTTGTACAATGTCCTCATAAACATAGGATTCTTGTCTGTCATCCAACTCTAGTCCCTCCCTGAGACCAACATTTTCTCAGAATTCTGCATAAATTGATTAATTCCTTCCTGTTTTTTGTTTTTCCCCAAACCTTATTCCACTTTAGAGAAAGCTACATTTTACACATTTGATGTTGTATGAGAATGGCCTTTTTATTTAGATTAAAATTAGTCAGAACCCTCAGACTTGCATAGTCTGTGTTGCCAGAATTAGAGCAACCTGTATACTTGCAGAGAGGATCAAATTTTGGGTATCCACCTGTAGAACATGTTACAAGTTTCCATATTAGAATCAAAACGTTATAGTAAGGCTTAGTAAGCCTCTTTTGCCTATTTGAGGAATTTCTTATTCTTTAAACCTGTAAAGCAGCTATATAGCTCTTGATTTATGCATTTACAAACCACTGTTTTTAACAGAAGCTTACAGATCAGAATAGAAGCTTAGTGTCTGCCCATTGCATACTGTCCCACAGGGTTTGTTTAAATAGGACTTGTACTACCTATCTACAAGCAAGCAGATGGTAGCTTGCTAGTCACGAAGATGGGAATCAATGTGCTCAATCTGTCACAGAAAAGAAAAATGTGTACTTACCTTACAGCAACCAGTTCTTCGATTTCATAACCTGTCTGTATTTCATTCTAATTCCACAAGAGTTCTGCTCCGCTGGGATTTTTTTGTGTTCATGACAAAACTAAGAATTGGTTTGGGTTTGCCCTACTCTCTGGAATTTCGAGTTGTGGGTAGTTGTAGGGGGCAAGTTTAGTACCAGACAATATTTATGATCAAAAGAAATTAATTTTGCATGTTGACATTGAGTGGAATCTGTGGATAACACCTTTTGAGAAATCTCTCTTCCTGTAAATAACTTGTTTTTGTTTTATCCCAGATGCTCATTTATGAAGTAATAAAAGTAAAAAATGTGCTCTTTTTCATCATCAAAATAATGGTCTGAAGTTTGCATTTAGAAACATTACAGATGGTGCCATTCTTTTTAATGGTATAGAAACACAGGAGAATTCCTGATCAGAAGAACTTACAATTTGAAGTGCTTACACATGCTATATGGTGTGGATTCTTCTTAAAGTATAACAACTATTTTTCATTTAAATGTGATCTTCATGAGATAAGTTAGACACCTGAGAAATAACAGGGGGAAAAGTGCCTCTGGGAAGAATTGACCTATGTAAAGTGCAGTTCCATTCTGAAAAATGCTTTATAAAATGACTCTTCCGTCAGAAGATCTATTGTTGTTTGGTATTCAGAAATTTGTTTGCTTCTGTTAGCAGCTACAGAATTTTTCTTCAATTCATGATTATCATTTGCAGTGCAAAGCTAGCCTCAGGAAGAGATGGATTCCTTCATATGCAGCACTTAAATAGAATTGTTTCCTTCACTCGTCTACATCAGTATGCTCTCTAATGGGTACATTTCATTCCTTGCTTTTCATCTGGAGACTTTCTTACTGTAGCAGTATCCATACGGTGCACTCTAGCGCCTCCCCACCACCTTCTCCCCGCTTTGTGTTTCGGGCTCCTCGGCTCTTCTCAACTGCCTAACTTAAGATGGAGTACTTTTTCTGTTCCTGATGTCCTTCATCAGAAAACGCCCAAAAATCATGCTTTAACAGCAATAGTTTAATATTTAAAATATTCCTTCACTGAACTAGGAGGATTGCTGAAAGTTTGTGTTGTTGGTTTTGTTTTGTTTTGTTTTGTTTGGGGGGGGCGGGGAGGTCAACTCTCTTTCCCCTGTTGCTTAAGGCTTTTGTCTCCATCCTGGCCAGTAGCTGCCCTCTGCCCTAGGAATCCTACCTGGCCCTGAGACTTCTGAGCCCTGGAGGATATCCACAAGAGCTGAAGAGAGGCCCAAATCATATTTACCAGCGTTTCCCAGTGCCAAAACATACAGCTTGGAGTGTAAAGGGCAGGGAGAGCACTCTGGCATGGAGCCATTCAGAGATCACAATTCACGAACACCTCAAGGGGACTGTGATGCTGTCAAACTCATCTGTGATGATGGAACCAGGTGGTGATCTGATGACTTTATGTGTCTGTTGTGGAGGTGCCATTTTCCTAGTTCTAACTAAGTACCCTACATCTGGTATGGCTTATTTTGTAAACCTCAGCACTGAAATTCACTTGGGAATTGGACTGTGTACTGACAGCTCAGAACAGCATAATCTCCAAGCCCAGTGCCTTCCTCTGGCATGGGCCCTCCAGTACCTTGGCCCAGCTGCGACACTGGCTAAGTTTTCCTTCTCTGAATGCTGCTCATTGGCTTTCTTAGGACCTAGATCAGTCCTCCAACCAGTGCTCTGTAGATGCTCACCTTCACAGTAACACCACATAAAACAAGTGATAGACCCCAGCACCTCAGGCAGTGGTCTACAGTTTTTCTGATAATGTGAGTGTGGAAAATTTGGTTATAGTGAAAGGTGCCTTGACTCTAACCACTGTGCTAGAATGAGAACAGAGCCTGTGCCTGTTTGCAGCGTCACATCAAGACTGTGTGTGCTTTTATTACAGGAATTAGTGTAGTATGCCCTAGTATAGCACTGTCTTGTCCTGCACAAATGGAATAGCTTTGGGCTGTGATACACAGAAGATATACAAACAAATCCCACAAGGCTCAGAGAGCCCATTGACATTGAGAGCCTCTACGCTGGGGATGTTTTTGAGTGTCCCCAGGTTTTTGGAGACTGTTATAATAGGAGAGAGAACCCAGAGACCCATGCTCTTTCAAAGCAGCTTCAGTGAATTTGTGCTTCAGTTCACCACAGGAATTTCCACAGTATTTCCACAAAAGCTCCATGGGCAAAATGAGTATAAACTGGTATTGCCCCAGTCTTTCAGTGCCATAATCCTCCAAATATATAAGGAACTTCCAAGAACTTATGTAAAAAACTGTCAGGTTCATTAAACATCTCCCTAAAGGAGGTGTCTGAACAGTCTCACTGCATGTAGGTATATGGCACCAAGCAAGCCTGATCCAGCTAGTTCTAGCGATCAACAAGGCCATAATGGACTTGGTCAAAGCAGTCTGGCAAATTTTAGTCTCTTGCCACCCCACTGCTGGACAGAAATAGAATTCAGGGTAGTGCAGAATCATAGAAAATTAAGGTTGGAAGAGACCTCAGGAGGTCATCTAGTCCAACCCCCTGCTCAAAGTAGGACCATCCCCAACTAGATCATCCCAGCCAAAGCTTTGTCAAGCCGGGTTTTGAAAATCTCCAAGGATGGAGCGTCCACGACCTCGCTGGATAAACTGTTCCAGTGTTTCACTGCCCTCCTAGTGAGAAAATGCTTCCTAATATCTAATCTAATCTTCCCTTGCTGTAACTTGAGACCATTGCTCCTTGTTCTGTTATTTGCCACCACTGAAAACAGTCTAGCTCCGTCCTCTTTTGAATCCCCGTTCAGGTAGTTGAAGGCTGCTATTAAGTCCCCTCTCAGTCTTCTCTTCTCTATATTAAATAAGACCAGTTCCTTCTGTCTTTCCTCATAAGTCATGTCCCTCAGCCCCCTCACCATTTTTGTCACCCTCTGCTGAACTCTTTCCAATATGTCCACATCCTTTCTGTAGTAGGGGCCCCAAAACTAGACACAGTACTCCAGATGTGGCCTCACCAGTGCTGAAAAGAGGGGAATAATAACCTTGACCTACTGGCAAAACACCTGCCAATATGTGCCTTTATAAACTAAATAAGATTATATAGATAGAGCACAAGCTTTTGTGAAACCAAGTTCACTTCAGATGCTGTGAAAGGATGTGGAGAAAGCAGAGTATAAAGAGAGAGAAATTAGAATACAAAAGGGAGAGGAGAGGAGAGGGGGAGGAGGGAAGTGCTAGAAGAGAAAAGCAAATGAATAGTAAAGTTATAGGAACAAAGATGATGACAAAAGCTAATCCAGGTAATGAGTTAAGAATCCATAGTCCCTGTTTAAACCATACATAATGTAGTACAGTTTGTGGGTGATTTCTTGTTTCACCGTTTCCCATTCAAATCTTGAGGTCCTCAGTGGAGCATCTGGGGAGGTTGAAGTGTTCTACCACAGGCTTTTGTGTCTTTCTGCAGTTGATGTCAAATTGGTGTTCATTTATTCTTGTATTGTAAAGGCATTCAGTCTTTCTGCAGTAGACAGCATATATGACATTGGTAGGGTTGCAGGTGAACGAACCTTGGTTGTTGTATTCCTTTTTATTAGGTTCAGTGATGACATGGTCTGTATTGATATGGTGACACAACGGGCATTTGGGTCCATTGCAAGGCCTGGTGCCTTGCTTAAAATAGAAGGAGGTTTCTAACCAGGTATCTTTATTCCTGTCCCAACCCATCTTCCCTGGTTGGCATGGTTGTCCGTGACAAATTTTCCTCATAGGAAATACATCAATAAGGCAAGTAGCTGAGATCCAAGTACAAGTGGAAGATTTCCCCTCCATGCTACATTCTACCCAGATAAAGTAACTTTGTAACTCAGCCCAAGTTCCTGCCCAAAGGTGTCACAGACTTTCATTTCAGGCAGCATATTAATTGCTTAGTTTTCTTCCCACAACCTGATTTCTCCTACGCAGAGATTTTGCTGAATTTCCTAAATGTGAAAAGGTCATTGGATTATTACCTTCACAGAACCAAGCCATTCAGAAAGTCACCTCGGCTGTATTGGTAGCTGTGAGATCAAAAATCACAAGGATAAAAGCCTGGAGACTATTTAAATGGATCTTGGACTATATAAAATTATAAATAATTTTGACATAACATAAGATTGAGGTGAACCCACTATTAGTAATAGGGCACATTTCACCAGAGCCCAGACTACTTACTGGTATATAGCATCCCTGTGTAACATTGCCACAACTGATATCTACAAAGCAGCTACTTGGAGCTTCTTTCATACCTTTATGAAGCTTCATGCCACCACAGAAACCTCTAGAGCAGACGATGAACTTGACAGACCAGTCCTCCAATTACTGTTTGCTTAAGAAGGGGAGTTCAAGATTCACTTTCATGTACGTGGCCATGCTTTTGAGTCATCCATTAATGCAAATGGTGTGGACAGTTACTTTTAAGAGAAAGTAAAATTGCTTCTCACAAAATGAAGTTCTTTGAGGTTGTATTGTCTACATACACATTCAGACCCTGCCCTCCTCCTTTTCCCCAGAGTCAAAAGTAACATAGAGCTCTGGTTGAGAAGAAACTGAGAAGTGGGAAGTATGCACTGCCCTAATGCCTTCAATACAAGGGCACAGGGAGAAGCAGGACTAGACCCCTCTTTATGGGTATTACTAAGGCAAAAAAGTTTCCAGCTGAAACAGATTGTGAACCAAACACATTAGTAAGAGTGTGTTTGGGGACAGTATATTTTAAAGAAACTTCAGGCCCTTGGCAGATGTTACACTTAAGAGGTGATTAACCAGTTAATCATGTCTTAAATAGTGACCTGGCCACACTCCATGAAATTAATGAGATGATAGCATGGAAAATAAGCCATGCAGCCTGATGCCAGTTACAAGGCAGAGGTCTGAGATCAGCCTCAGTATGGTCTGAACAGAACAGAACAGAACAGGTCTGGGACTGAACAGAAGTGAGTTCAACACCACACCAGTTCATTGGGCACTCAGTTTTCTACTTGCTAGTGCAAGGGCTTTCTCTGCACTGACAACTAGTATTGGCATAACTGGGATCTGATCCTGGTCCCATAATCATGTATCCTGCCATGCATGTGTAGCATGGCAGAAGAGATTGCTGAGACTGAGGAACAAATTACATCTGAAAAATTTCACTGAAAATCTTGTGGTTGCACAGATGTCATGACAACATAATGTAACTTACCGAATGTATTACTGTTGTAATGTCTGAAGAAAGAGGCTTCTCAATCTGTTGGGGGTTTTTTTGTTTTGTTTTGTTTTGTCTTTTACATCTTGAGTTTACAGGATCATCATTTAGATTAATAACTAAAATATGTTTTCTTGCTCAAATTTTCTTTAAAAAAGTCACCAGAAACATAAAACACTACCGTTTAATTTTTAGACACTTCATTTAAAGCTTGCAAAGTCACATGCAAATATAAAGGAAAACAGTACACACTGAAGCTACATATTTTCAGGTTTTAAGAGCAACTGAATTTTTTTATAAACATGATGTGACATGTATGATTAAAGTTTACCTCAAGACAAAATATCTCACATGAAATGGAAAGATTTAAATAATCAATTTGAAGTTTTTTTCTGTTTGTGTTTTGTTTGTTTTGTAGAGATGGGTGCATTCTCATTCATTGATACAATGATTAAAATATAATTTACAAATAAATAGAGATTTTTCCATGAATTTTTGGTATATGTTTAGTACCGAGACAAGTGCACTATAACTATGCACTAATTTATGCAACTAATGTTTAATTAATGAAGCTTAATTAATTAATGAAGCTTAATGTTTGCAAATTGTTATACATTTTAGATTTTTAGTATATTAGAAAAAGGAGAATGATGCATTGCTTATGGATTCCCCACAGGATCAAGCCCTTAATTCATATGACCTGTTGTGGCAGATTTCTAAGGCTTGACCTCAAAAGTTATATCCTTTTTTTCAAATTTAGAAAATAGTGTCCCTTGAAGTTTTGGTAGAGGATTATAGATTCAGCATTTTTATGTAAATGTTTCAAGAGGTATAGGCAGACAAGGTTCCTTGGGTGAATTTGATATCTTTTATTAGACCAACCCAAATAGTTGGAGAATAGTTATTAAGCAAGCTTTCGGGTTCAAAAACCCTTCGTCAGGCTAGGGAAGTTTCAGCAGTTGGTGTGTGCTCTTCATAGTAAGTTTAGATCTTAAAATATTTTATGTTAAATTTAGGTTCCATTTGAATTGGATCTATAACTTCTGATTTAAGTTATAACAATAACAAGGGAATTAAATTCTTTTTATGTTAATGTTTTAATTGCTTAATTTTAATTTTTATCAACTGCAATCAAATAAGTTTGTTTTGTCTGTAGGTGACAACATTACAGCAGTCTGTTAATTTGCTGCAAAAGGATAAAGACTATCTTAATCACCAGAATATGGAACTCAGTGTTCGCCGTGCCCATGAAGAAGATCGTCTTGAAAGACTCCAGATTCAGTTGGAGGATGCCAAAAAAGCTAGAGAAGAAGTATATGAGAAATATGTAACATCCAGGCAAGTTCTTATGTTAAAATCCCATTAAAGTAAATGTCTGTTGATTTCAAAAGAGTTTGTTCAGATCTGTTTATGACTGAGATCAGAATTAGGCTTTGTTTTTTTTCTATCACATGGTAGTGTTACAATGACAGGAATTATGCAAGAAGCTAGGATTTCTTTTATTGGACCAACTGTATAGTTGGGTTAGTTAGCGAGCTTTTGAATGCATGACATTCTTTAGGTCTAAGGAGTAAACACCAGCACAGTGTAATGAAAAACAGCTGGAAGATGGGGGAGAAGACAGATTTCAGTATCTTCCATGTTATGGTACTGTGACTGATGTTGTAGCCATGATGATCCAGAAAGTATATAAGGTGGATTTTGATATCTTCCATGATATGGTGGATTTCACTATCTTCCATGTTACGGAAATCAATACCTTAAGAAATCCTTGCCTTTCGTATTACATATAATATTTAAGAGAAATATATAAAGAATTTTTTTAAGATTTTGGGAGTCAATCTACAACACTAAAGAAACCCAGAGAGAAAATTTGCTTTATGGCAATTATTTTATTAGTATACAATGAATCCTGAAAAATTCTAGTGAGAACCTTATGTTTTTTTCAGTTTGGAGCCCTGCTATTCAGGTGACCAGTTCCAAAGATTTGATACATCACACGATAACATCAGTGTAGTGGCAGCATATTTATGGAGCCAAGAGATACTATTGTGGAGCCAAATTTACCATTTGCTTGACAATTGACTCACCTAAGGCAGCTTACCTCAATAGATCACAGATGGGATTGTGGCAGGGGCTTGGGGCTCCTGCCACTTTAAGAAGCAGACAGGCTAGTGCTGAGGAAGCCTGCAAGTGCAGCCAGGCAGATTATGGAGTCCTCTGCCCCTGTAGGAAGGCGGTGCATAGGCAGGATATAAAGCCAGACCTCAGTGAAGCCAGCAGTAACATCCTGGAGACTGGTGAAGGAACATCACTCAGCAGGAGGGCTGCAGCTCTGGAATGGCAACTTAGAGAGTACAGCCAGCAGCTGAGGGGAGGAAGAGATTTCTAGGGACTCAGGGAGGGGTCCAGAGCCCAGATTGAGGGGCTGAGAGTTGATGGCCTGAGTGTGTGGGACAAGAGAGGGTCAAGGAGCCCAGAGGAGGGGCTAAGTGGAAGGTAGTATCAGTGAGTGATGACACCTGCAAGACATGGGGTGTGTTGTAGGGGTGGATTAGAGCCATGCAATTAGCTCTGAAGACGAGACCACAGATATCTGGTTGTCACTGGCGACAGAGAGCAATTTTGGAAGACCAGGCAGTCTCCCTCACATACAAGTAAGATGCATGAAAGTGTGTTGGGCAAGAAAAGGAGTCACTGTTTAATGACAGCAGAGTGAGCAAAGGCTAGAGGGACTCCAGGGGCTTCACAACCATCCCTAGAGGGCACCTTATGACAGGCATTTATCACATTTTGCACATTTGTCATATTGTGGCTCAGGATCAGCAAGGGAGGATCAATCCTTGCTGCCTTCTAGATTACAAGAGTCTGGAATGATATGTTTGGGGTCAGAACAGAGTTCCTATTTCAATTGCAAAACAATTTTCAGATATAGAACTTGTCTAAGCTTACTAATCCACAATCAATCATGTATAATCATCACTCAATATGATATGATTTACCTTTATTCTGTAGAAAAATGACTGAAGTCCATCTGCCTGCCAAAGAAACTTCACACCAGTTGGCATAAACATGTCACATGAGAAAACTCATCTTCCCATAGATGTATTGGAGCTCAGGCTAATTCAGTTGGCTCGTGCAGCATGTCTTCTGTTTCAAGGCAAACCAGTTTTGATCGTGACTGATATCATTCCAGAGAGATCTTGTGTGAATGCATAAGGATGAATGAGTTCTTCCTTCTTATCTTAGGAAACTACGTGCCTTTGAACTCAGTACATCTGTTTTCACATGACCACGAAGGTTCCACGTTTTCTTTGATAGATCACATATTCAGGCAGTAGTGTAATTGTGAGTAATAGATAACAGAGTCTGTTGTTAGAATTATTTCACAAATCCCCCAGACCTGCTTTCCTGCTGTAACACTAAGTTGCCTCTGAGTCTAGATATTATTTCTAAGAACACCAGGAAAATTGTCCTATCCAGGCCTGGCCTCCATTCTGTAGCATTCTCCATTATAAGGAAAAATTTCTCTAAAAATATCTATAACATTCTGTTCCAGCATATGAAATACACCGTGCTAATATGTTATGCATCAAGATGGAAAAAAAATTGTTCCTCTGAGCAATTGTCCCAGGATTGTTTGTCTATCTCCTAAAGTCGGAGATGCTTCCTGATTTGGACTGTTGTTTTAAAAAAGCTTGGGACTTTGTATTATTTTTACAAGAATGCACCTGGTGACATGACTTATTTCCTGCCTGTAACAGGGTATTTTTTTCTGAAACTTAATGGTGGGCTAGGTTTTATGAAAGCTCAAAACATGTAATTTGCCTGAGCAGTTCCCTCCCTACTGTGTTCCATGCTGGTTAATTCACCATAAAAAGAGTATAATTAAACCAGTGCTGGGCACTTTTGAAAATGTCTCTCTTAGTTAATGGTTAGTTACCCTACTTGAGTCATAAAAAAATATTGTAAGAGTGTTTCTGTGTGTGTGTGTGTGTGTGTGTGTGTGTGTGTGTGTGTGTGTGTGTGTGTAAAATGCACCAGTAGCAAGTTATATGTTCAACCACATGATTGTTTAAGCTCAGGAGATAGTTGCATTCAACCTCAAGCTTTCCACCTTTGGAAGTTTCTACAACTTCTCTAGGCAGTTTGTTTTAGTGCTTAACTACTCTCCTAGTGAAAAAGGTTCTTCCTAATTCCCAGTCTAAATTTTCCATGGTGCAGTTTAAAGTTTAAACTGATTACTACTTGTCTAGTCCACTATGGACAACAGAGAAAATAATTGAGCCATTCTGTTTACAACAACCATTTTTGTATTTGAAATCTTTTCTCAAATACCCTTTCAGTCATCTCCTCTACGGACTAAATAGCCCCAGTTCTTCTAAGCTTTCCTTGGATATCAAGTTTTATAGACCTCTAATTATTTTGTTGCTTCTCTAGACTGTCCTTTGCTAGTCATCTGGGTCTTCACCCAGTTATTGTAGGCCAGTTATTCTGACAAGAAAACGGAAGCATAAAATAAGCAGCATACAAAGGCTGTTCAAAAGGTATTGAGACTAATGCTGTAGGAAACAAAATATTCTATTTACAGGGGTTTCAGCTTAATCTCCTTCGAAGTATGCTCCTTCTGCAGCCACACACTTCTCCCAATGTTTCTTCCATTGTTGGAAGCACCTCTGATGAGCAATTTGTGGAATCTCTAAAGTTGCTCAGTCGCATTTTGTTTTATGGTTTCCACATCACAAAATCTTCTTCCTTTCAAGGTTCTCTTTTGTTGAGGGAAGAGAAAAAAGTCACACGGGGCCATATCAGGTGAATATGTAGGCTGTGGTGCTTGTGGGATACAGTGTTTGGCTAAAAATTGCTTCACAAGCTGTGCTGAGTGGGCAGGCATGTTGTCATGGTGAAGCATCCACGAGTTGGACACCCACTTTTCTGGTCATTTTTCTGGTTGTTTTATTCCCAAATTGCCGGTTAGAATTGAATTATATGAACCATTAGAAATTCCAACTTCTTCTGCAATCTCTCGGACAGTCAGTTGCCTGTCATTTTGAATCAAACTGTGAACCACTGCCACATTTTCATCATTTTGGGATGTTGAAGGGTGTCTGGAATGCTCCTCACTTTTGACCGATGATCATCCTTCTTTAAACCTACGATACCATTCAAAAACTCTTGCACGGCTCATAGTGTCATCACCAAATTCTATTTTAAGTAATTCAAATGTTTCACTTGCTGTTTTCCCAGTTTTCATGCAAAATTAAATACATACACATTCTGGACACTCTGACATAACAAAAGGGGACACACACAATTTTACTTCAACCGCTGGCCACAGAAAACTGAGGAAACACCATGAGCTGCAGACCTGTCCAGAGGAGTCCCAGCATGCCAGACATGTTCAGCAAAGCCATGACCCCCACCCAATACTTTGTACCACAAATACACACACAGTCTCGATACTGTTTTAACAGACCTTGTAAATCACGTGTTTGGAAGAAAAGAAAAATGTAGCTGTACTTATGCAGAGTACCACATTTTTTGACATTTATGGTCAACATTATAATAATATAAGCTAGATTTTTTTTTTAATTTTTCAGAGATCGTTATAAAACAGAATATGAAAACAAATTGCGTGAAGAATTGGAACAAATTAGATTGAAAACAAATCAAGAGATTGAGCAGCTTCGAAGTGTTTCAAAGGAGATGTATGAACGTGAAAACAGGTAGGTAAGATGGGTTTTTTAAAAACCTGTAGACCATTTTAAGTAAAAATGATCTAAAATAGTGTATGTCTTATCTAGAGTAAGTTCTCTCTCTTTTGGAGGGATGGGCAAAGTGTAGAAAATGGTTTAATTATGACCCATTCTAAATTAACTTAAATATGCTCACACAAAATTATCTTCAGTATAGAATTATATTTTTGTAATAAAAGTTAAATTTTAAGTTTTTTGCTGCATCATATCAGCAGTGAATTTGTTATAATAAATTACCTATTTTGTTATTTGTGGCTTGCTAGCTGTGCAGTGCTAGGTTATTTCGTAATTACATTATTTTGCATAAAATGTGTTATCTAACTTATTGTACATGATGGAGGTAAATGTTGGGATTGAGGTGATGTGGAAAAGAGGATGAATTGAGTGTGATGAGGAAGATGGAGGAAAATGAATTGCAAGCTTTTTCAGGTTTTCAGAAAAATGATGTCTGAAATGACATAGCTTTGGTAGTAATCTCAAGGGTCATCTAGTTTAACTGTGTACACAAATGTACCATTTCCTATTTCTAAACCATCTCAGACACCTATTCAGCATCTCAAAAACCTCCAGTGAAGAAGATTCCTTTATCTTCCCTATATAGCTTGTTCTATTCTTCTACTCTTTTTATAGTTAATTTTTCCTAAAATTGGATCTAAATTTGCTTTGCTGAAGTTTGAACCCATTTTTGTGCATCCTGCCCTCTGTAGTGAGGGAAAAATGTTCCCATCTTTGTTACCCTTTGAAATGCTGTGCCATCATGTCATTTCCTCCCCTCCTAAATCTCCTTTTTTTTCCAGACTAAAATACCTAGTTGCTTCAGCCTGTCCTTGTATGGCTTGCTTTCCAACCCCTTTATCATCTTTCTTGATCAGCTCTGGATTTCCTCCAGTTTCTCTGTCCCACTTGTAATATGGAGCCAAAAACTGGATGCAGAACTTCAGCTGTGGCTCATCTAAGTCTAAGTAGTGTAATGCTATTATCTTCCATATATTGCGACAGTGCTTCTGTTGTTGTAACCTGAAATCGCATTTACTTTCCATAATCATGTAGCTGACTCATGTTGAGTTTGTGACGTACCCTGAACCGCAGATCCTTCTCTCAATGTTACTGACAAACCAGCTAATTCCTGTTTTGTATTTGTATCTGTGTAGCACTGTACATTTGTCTCTGATGAATTTTATTTTGTTACTTTTTGTCTTATTCTCAGACTTCATTTAAAAACTTGAATTTTATTATTCTATCCTCCAAAGTGTTTGCTACTCCTCCTGGTAGTGTGTCGTTTCCAAATTGCATCAGTATTCTCTCTCCCTGCATCCAAGTCATTAATAAAATTTAAACAGCACTAGACCCAAAACCGAGCACTCTGAAATTTCACGTGAGATCTTCTGCCAATCAAACACTGATCCATGAATAGTTACTCTTTGCCTGTAGTTACTGAACCAGTTATGTGTTTACCTTAACGTAAGATTTATGTTTAAAGACGATACTATCTACGTTGCAGATAGTATGCCAGATCACTCACTGGAAAAACAGTTCCATGTCAATATTGGCAGTTTGGAGGAAATGTGTATGTAGACCATAGTTAAGGGTTAATACATCCGTTTCTAACTGGATACAAACTCTGTCAAAAGTTTGCTATTGTCAAATAGGTAGTCAGCAACTGTATTTAATTTTGCCTAAGGTACTATCCATTATAAAAAATAATTTTCAATTCTTGATAACACTACCAAGCTCAGAGCATTTGGGTTTAAATTTTCCATGCCGGGTATCTGCTTTGGGCTGAATTTTTTTGGGAAGTTTTCATAGGAACATAAGAATTGCCATTTATTGGCTAAGACCATGGGTACATCCTGCCCATTCTCCTATGTCACATAGTGGCAGAGAGTGGATGCTAAAAAGGAGAGTGAAGTGGTCATGACCAGGATGTCTTTCTCACTGTTCGTCTCAGTTGCAACCACCAGTATTTAAGCTGAGGAAGTTCTAATTCAGTCAGAGGCTGTATCTGTCCCTAACTCCTATGCTCAATAGCTACTGATGTCCCTTTCCTCCAGTAATTTGTCCAGTTCCTTTTTGAATCTAGGTCAGCTGTCAGCTTCCACAACATCTGGAGGCAATTGCACACCGTGTGAAAAAGAACTCCCTTTTGTTAGTTTTAAACTTACTACCTTCTAGTGTCATTTTATGACCTCAAGTTCTTTTACTGAGAGAGACAGTGCATAATAAATCCCTATTTACTTTCTCTTCACCATTTAGTATTTTGTAAACCCTTATCAGGTTCCCTCTCAAGTGTCTCTTTTCTAAACTAAATAGACCTAGGCCCTTTAGTCTCTCCTCATATGGAAGCTGCTCCATACTGCTAATCATCCTTGTTACCTTTCTCTGTACTTTCTGTAGTTCTTCTATATCCTTTTTGAGGTGAGGGGACCAGAACTGGGCACAGTATTCAAGGTGTGAATGCATTGTGGATTTATAAAGGAGCATGATAATACTTTCATTTTGTTTACAATTCCTTTCTTAATAAATCTTAACATTTTGTTAGCCTTTTTGATGGCTGCTAAGCACTGAGCTGATGTTTTTAGCAAGCTGTCTACAATGACTCCCAAAATCTCTTTCCTGTGTGATAATATCTCATGCAGGGTCCATCATAATGTAGGTTACCGTTTGGGTTATTTTTGCCCAGGTATATCACTGTACATTTATCGACATTGCAGTTGTTTCCAAGAACAAAATTAGGAAGAGATACATATGTATGTTGGTTTGCCCACATTTAAAAATTCAGGGGCCTCTGTGTACCTACTAATAGGGATTTAGTGCCCCTAGAACTAAGCTGCAAAAGTATTTTAAACATTGTGTTTGCTGGAGGAGAGCAAGAGTGCTTTCACATGAAGGTAAAATACAGATGTAGGCTTGGTTCACCTTGGGGTCCTTAAGGTTCCTCTTTTGATATCCTGCCCCCCCCCCCCCCCCCCCCCCCACACC